CACTCACACACACACACACACACACACACGCACTGAGGAAGTGAGGGCAGTGTGGGGCGGTCCCTGGAGCTGCTGAGCTGGGCACAGCTGGGTTCTCACCTCCCGGCTGCTTGTCCGCAGCTGGTGGCGGCCCTGTCTGTGGGCTCCCACTCCAGGGTCCGCGCACTTCGCCAGGCCCTGCAGGTACCGCCACAGGGTTGTGCCAGTACAGGGGTCCTGGCCGGGGGTGAGTGGGTCCCAGCGAGGCTGTGGTGCCCAGAGGAAAGGGAATCTGGCTAATCAGCCCGAGCACATGGATGCGCGGCTCTCCGTTCTGACCACCTCCATGCGGAAGGTTCTCTTTCACCCCAAACTGTGGGTTGTCACCTCTTCGCACCTGTTTCTAGTCCTAGGTTCAGCTGGGGGATTCTGACTCCTTCCTGTTGGGGCTGAGAAGAGGAGGTGGTCATGGTGCAGGAGGCAGAGAGGGGGAACTTCTCACTAACAGCTATGTGTGTGGGGGCAGAGGGGAAGGAAAGCCAGGTGGGCCTGGGAAGGGCAGGGGGTAGGGCTGAGCCTTGTGGGGAAGCTGGAGGGGCCAGGCCAAGGGCATGCTCAGAGTCGCCCTGCGTTTGGGAAGGGGCTGGTGGAGGAGACAGGCATTTCCTGTGTGTAAGTCAGTGTGCGAAGGGTCCCCACTGGCGTGCCCTTGCCAGCTCCTCCCTTAGGTTTTTATGCGTCTCCAAGGCGTGTCTCATGTGATGGGAACCCCTGCACCAGGGCGGGGGCTACATGAGTGTCCACTATGCAGAAGTCCATCCGGCTGCCTGCTGTCCCGTTGTGTGTATGCTATACTTCAACTCAACAGGGAAAACAGAACCCCCTCCGAACCACCGAGGGCGCGGGGGGCTGCGATGTTCACCTGAAGGGCCCCCCACCAGGTTTCTGATTCAGCAGGTGGAGTGGGGCAAGAATTTGCCGTTATCTTGATGCTGCCAGTTGGGACCACACTTTGAGAACCACTGGCCTAGTTTTCCAGTGGAGTGAAGCCAGGTGGCAACCAGGAAGTATTTCTAGCCCAGCGGGAGTGGCTCAGTGGTTGAGCGTTGACCTATGAGCCAGGAGGTCACAGTTCAATTCCCGGTCAGGGCACAAGCCCCAGTTGCAGGCTTGATCCCCAGTAGGAGCGTGCAGGAGGCAGCCAGTCAATGATTCTCTTTTATCATTGATGTTTCTATCTCTGTCTCCCTTTCCTCTCTGAAATCAAGAAAAAAACATTTTTTAAAAGTATTTCTAGGGAAACATTTCCAGTGAAGTGCCCAGAGAGCTGTCAAAAGGAACATTAAGCCCTAGCTGGTTTGGCTCAGTGGATAGAGTGTCGGCCTGCGGACTGAAGGGTCCTGGGTTTGATTCTGGTCAAGGGCCCATGCTCAGGTTGTGGGCTCAGTTCCCTACTGGGGAACTAATCGATGGTTCTCTCTCATCATTGATGTTTCTCTCTCTCTCTCTCTGAAATCAATAAATATATATATTTTAAAAGGGACATTAAAAATCTCTAAGCCTCTAATAATTTGCTGGGATTTCTTTTTCATTCTAAACATGTTGACTCTTGAACAACATGGGCTTGAACTGCATAGGTCTACTTCCTATGTGGATTTTTTTCAGTAAATACTGTAAACGTATTTCCCCTTATTTTTCTTTTCTTTTTTTAAAATATATTTGTATTGATTTCAGAGAGGAAGGAGAGGAAGAGACAGAAGTATCAATGATGAAAGAATCACCAAATTTTTAGGCTTTTCTTTCGCACAGCTGTTTTCTGAAGTTGCTGCTATTGCCAGGTGTACAAACTGAGATGCTACTTTAAAAAAAATTTTTTTTAATATTTTTTTTATTGATTTCTAAGAGAGGAAGGGAGAGGAAGAGACAGAAGTATCAATGATGCGAATCATTGATTGGCTGCTTCCTGCACACCCCCCATTGGGGATCGAGCCCACAACCTGGCACGTGCCCTCATACTGACAAAGACACAGGTGAAGTGAGTGGCTTGTGGTAGCAGAGCTGGGAGTTGTTTTTGATCTCTAAGAGAGGAAGAGAGAGGGAGAGAAAGATAGAAACATCAACGATGGCCCCAGATGGTTTGGCTCAGTGGATTAGAGTGTCTGCGGACTGAAAGGTCCTAGGTTCGATTCCTCTCTCTCTCCTTCTCCCTTCCTCTCTGAAATCAATAAAAATTTATTTTAAAAAAGATGAGAATCATTGATTGGCTGCCTCCTGCATGCTTCACACTGGGGAGAGAGGGAGAGAAAGATAGAAACATCAACGATGGCCCCAGATGGTTTGGCTCAGTGGATTAGAGTGTCTGCGGACTGAAAGGTCCTAGGTTCGATTCCTCTCTCTCTCCTTCTCCCTTCCTCTCTGAAATCAATAAAAATTTATTTTAAAAAAGATGAGAATCATTGATTGGCTGCCTCCTGCATGCTTCACACTGGGGATCAAGCCCACAATCCAGGCATGTGCCCTGACCAGGAATTGAACTGTGACCTCCTGGTTCATAGGTCGATGCTCAACCACTGAGCCACGCTGGCCGGGCCTTTAGCTTTTCTTAATAATTTTCTTTTCTCTAGCTTTGCTTTATTAATAAAAAATATGTATTAAGCAACTATGTTGTCAGTTGGGCTTCTGGTCAACAGTAAGCTATTAGAATAGTCAGCCTTCCACACCTGTGGATTTTCAGTCACAGATTGAAACTGTTTGGCCCTGGCTGGGCAGCTGAGTTGGTTGAAGCATCCTCCCATACACCAAAAAGGCGGTGGGTTGGATTCCTGGTCAGGGCACATAACCAGGCTGAGGGTTTGATCCCAGGAGGCAACTGATCAATGTTTCTCAGGTCCCGGGGTCGATTCCGGTCAAGGGCAAGTACCTGGGTTGCGGGCACATCCCTAGTAGGGGATGTGCAGGAGGCAGCTGATCGATGTTTCTCGCTCATCGATGTTTCTAACTCTCTATCTCTCTCCCTTCCTCTCTGTGAAAAATCAATAAAATATGCTTTAAAAAAAAAAACAAAAACGTTTGCCAACATAGTAAAAACAAAAAAAGAACAACACTGGATCCATGGATCTGAAACCCAAGAATATAAAGGACCAGCTGTAGCTAAGTTTTGGGGGAGTCAACAGTTATATGCAGAATTTTGACTCTGCAGGCCATCAGTACCCCTAACGCCCATTCTGTTCAAGGGTCAACTGTATTCACTTTCATCCCTAGTTTTTTGTTCTTTTTTACTGTTTCCTTATTAAGGGCCCTTCAAATTGTACACGCTTCAGGCCCCACGCAACCAGGCCTGTGCCTGATCAGATGTCTATTACGTCCCGAGGGTTTGGAGGGGCAGTGTCCTCCAGATAGGAAAGGAATGAAATGAGGTTGCCGGGCAGGTGGGGCACCGGGGCTTAAAGGTGCAGTCTCCTGCCCAGCGCAGCTCTTGTTGAATGATAACAGCCCAGAAGTTCCGGACAACCGCCTGGGGGAAGAGGCAGAGACCTTTGACGATCAAGAGCTGAGGCCGGAGAGATCAGTGATTGGCCCAAGGCTGAGTACTGACCTCCAACAGACCAAACAGACCAGCTCCCTCCTTTGCCCGGAAGGGCACCCTCTCTGCTCCAGTCTCTGGACCAGGCTGGCAGCACAGCTGGGAGACTCCTCATACTATCTCTGAGGGCAGGTCTGGAGATGGCCTATCCTGGCCCCTGAACCCCCACACTCCCTCCGTCCTGCTTCCCCAATTCACAAAGCAGCAGCCAGGCTTGGCTTCCACACTGCCTTTATTCACACCTCTCCCCACCTGATGCTGCCGGCAGACAGGGACTGACCGGAGGCTGGGGGACCTCTGAGGGGGCTTCAGAGAGACCCCAACATGAATGGAGAATCTGAGGCACGGGGCTCCCTGAGAACACAGGAGAGGGGCAGGTCTGGGGAAAGCAAGAGAGGCCTCTTGGAGACCCACAGGTACATGGGGGCCAGTGCTGGCTGGAGATGGCTGTGAGGCCTGCTGCTGTGTGAAGTTTGCATTGCCTGGGAGAAGCGGGGGCACCCTGCTGGGAATGAGCC